ATTCTATAAAATCTGAAATTTCTCAAAATTTTATTAATTAATTCTTACTTAATACACTAAGTAAAATTGTTTAGCACCAAAAAATACATATAATTACAATTAGTTTCAAACTATTTTTTACACTTTTGACCAAACCTGGCTATGCTCTAGACAATTATATATATCACATAATTTATATATAGAGGCATACCCTGGGCATACTATAAAAGGCATGCCTCAGGCTAGGGCATGCCTTTTAGGACATGCCCAAAAAATTTTTCGTGCCCCCAACACTACAATTTATATAGTGATACATATGCTAAACCCAAAGATCTATAATAAAATTTTTTTTTCTAATCTCTATCCAAAGAACATTACTAGTCTTCATTCTTACCCTAACTCTAAAAAAAAATTATTAATTTCTAGCGCAGTTGCAAAAATTTTGAATATATTCTCAAAATTGATTTAAATACAACTAAATCACTTCGATTAAAATTACATTTCACTTTTACCAATATAAACAACATACAATTACAAATTACTAATGCAACCAAATTACAAGCTTATAAAGAAACATATCATATGCAACTTAAAGGTTTTATTCACCACTCCACCTTTGCTTAATCAAATGAAGCTATTTTTTTAGGGCAATTTCAAGAATCGTGGTACTATGATTTACATACAGCACACTGACGTTTGTTTTTCTTTTTTGATCTCGATGCTAGAATTTCATTTTGATTACTTAAAACAATGTTCATGCTATTATGATTCTCAATTGCTGATAAGTATCTTTTATTTGCAGGATAGTCTTTACCTTTATACTGATGTGGATTTGAAATACTCAAGTTATCATTTTCTTGAATCAACTCTTGTTCAGATAGATTTTTATTTTGTGCAGAAACTTGCTCATCAATAAATCATTGCAAAATATTTTCTAAAACCTTATTAGAACCATTGGTGATCGCTATCTTCAAAGCCTTTTTACAAAGCCCGAAACCACAGCCATATGAAACCTTTTTTGAATCTAATTCCATTACATTTCTAATGTTAATTTCTGGTCTACGAATTCTTTTTAAAGCTTGAAATGTGCTAGTTAAAAATGATTCGTCTTCATTTCGTATCAACAAAACAGATGATCCTTGATTTTTGTCAAATAATGCAAGACCTTTTTTAGAATACCAATAAGAAGGAATCAACTTCATATTAAAAAGTGCTTTTTTTGAATGAATTATAACAGCAAAAAAATGTCGGCAAATGAATCCAGCATAAATCAAATATAAATACGTGCAATAATGTGTACCATCTTCAAGCAATAACACAAATTGTGAATGATTCGTTATGCTTTGAAAATGTTTAACTTCCCATATCTCAGTTATACCGATTTCATCACAATCACCCAGGGCTGTGTTTAATAAAATTTGTAGTTCTTCATAATGTCTTTTATGAATCCCATACTATGACAATTTGAATCCTAATTAAATAATGCGTATAATACAATCTTTACTTATAGTTTGATTAAATAAAATAGAGCACATATAAAAAAAAATATATATCAAGAAAAACTATAACAAAAAACTTTTCTGATTCATGTTTATGTCAAGCTTATTAGCATATAAGAAGACCTATACAAAAGACTTTCTAGCATTTGTCTTCACTGCAATGCTAATAAATTAGGTATAAGATGCTTTTTGCACATATCATCAATATCTTTAAAAATCGTGCTTGAAACATGAAGAAGGCCTGTTATAGGATTCATATTTCAGAACTTTTGTAACCTTGCATATTTGGCTTCATCTTTGAGTCGCAATTCAATTCCTGCTTGAAGCTAACATAAAGAGTTTTCAGAGTTGGCCTCTAATTTTATAATATGGTTTATATTTTCAACACGTTGTGTTGAATGGGTGTTTGCTGAAAAATTCTGTTTTGTAAAAGCATATGTCCAACATTCTTTAGTTGGATACAATACTCGATTACAGTAACCTTGAATTTCTGGATACTTGTCCATTAGATTCGTTCAGCGATGATCAAAATCGGATATTACAAGTGAATTTCAAAGAGTATAGAAATCTGAAATAAACGTATCCCACTTGCTATAAAGCTTTTTTTGACCTTTTTAACAAGATTTTGCCGAATATGAAATGTGCAATGCCTAAACAAAAGACAAAATATTTAAACAATATGAAGAAAGTAAGAAGAATGTGTAAGATATAGTTATATACGATATGTGAAATAAGCTATAAAATAGACTAATCAAAAGTTGTGAGGGCATTCTGTCAAGGAAAAAAAAATAACCACAAATAAAGTACCGAACAATAGTTTCAGGATAGCTATTAGATATAGCTACTTGCATCGCCAGATCTGTATCCGTAAATATTGTCTTTGGTTAAAGATTACTGGTGGCTAAATTAGTTTGTTCTAAAATTCACTCGTAAGTTGATACTGTCTCATCACAAACTATAGCTGTTGCCACAATTCGGCTTCGCTGATTTGAATCGATTACAATAAATATGCTTAGAGGCATCATATATTTATTTGTCTTACACGTATTGTCGTTAATAACAACATCATGAAATCTGGCCCACAAGCTTTTTTGATCAGACGATATCCAAAATACTCTAAAAAGTCTATTATCAATGCCTTCGAAATCGACTTTAAAATACCAATTTGGATTTTCTTGCTGTGGCCTTACTAGAGATTCATATAAAGTTAAAGCATCATTCTTAGTTTGGTTATCAGCCTTAAATCTGCGTATCATATTATAAAGATCCCTATTATAAATTTCTTGGTCAGGAAACCTATTCTGTAATATTCGCTTTAAAACTGTTGCATCCAAATTGCATTCTTGAACATAGAACCTAACTTCTTCCTTTATATATGCAGATATTTTTCGTAATAATGGTGAAACTTGAAGCAATTTACAGTCTTTTAATATATGATTGTACTTCTCAATAAACTTATTAACAAATACAAGGTTTGACCATTTTCTATATGAAGCATTTAACAAAAAATTACAATCTATACATGCTGACTCTTGATTTTTATTAGTTGTAGGATCTAATTTCTTTTTGGGCGAGTATTTACCCCCGTGTCGGCATTTATAAGTTTTTTTAAAGCAAACATCATTTTCCTTTTCAATTCGTACTATCTTTGTTTCAAAACTTATTCGATTAGAATACCATTTCAAACATTGCTCAAGCACCTCAAAAGAAGTAAACATTTGTTCAGTATATATCTTTTTCAAAGGACTGTCTTCGGGCTCATTTTCTGAATTTCCGCTGTCATTTTCAGGATAATTGCCTCCAAAAAAAAATCACTTTCAACATTTTCAACTATAGAGAAAATACTGGGTTCACCACCCTCAGACATGTCACCTTTATTAAGATCATCACCTTCAAATACATAATCTTCAACATTTTTAACTACAGAGAAAACATCAGATTCATCATCTTCATACATGTTGGCTTCATTAACATATCTGGCTACAAGCAATGAATCGATAACATGCTTATTGGAAGGTAGAGCAAATTCAATATTAGCTTCAAAGTGATGTGAAATTCCATCATCCATATGATATACGTCAATGTCATTAACATATCCAACTACAAGTAATGGATTAATAACACGCTCATTGGAAGGTAGAGCAAATTCAATATTAGCTTCAAAGTAATGTAAAATTCCGTCATCCATATGATATACGTCGATGTTTTGTAGAATTGAATTTCAAACACCTAAAAAAAACTTTTTTATAATAAAGTTTGAGGCGAAATGTTTGAACCAAAATTTTTACTATGAGAGATCGTAAGTTTTAAAAGAAAAGTACTGTATGTGAGAAGGTAATAAACAACGTGTATAAATCCTAAAGGAAAAAAAAAAACCGCAATAAATAATAAGCAGTAAAAAATATTCATCAAAGTTAACATTCACAAGTATGATAGAATGTGAAAGAGGCTTATGTTGTATTTATTAAAGAATGTGCTTACTTTTTCGCAAGACTGTTTATTAAACGTTAACTTGTATATAGCCTAAAAGTCAAGACAAAATTCAAAGCAAAATATTGAACTGTGAAAGGTTGAAGAAAGATATATTAGAAAACTAAAAAAAAACACGTAAATCCTAAAAAAAAATACGATTAGTCAGTAATAAGAAACATTCGTCAAAATTAACATATTCATGAGTATGATAAAACGCGAAAAGGCTTATATTTAATTTACTAAACTACATGCTCACTTTTTCGCAAAACTATTAACTTGCGTAAACCTAAAAAAAATTTAATTAGTAATGGTAATAAAATTCAAGACCAGTTCAAAGCAAAATATTGAAGCAAAAATTTATCGTAGAAAGATAAGAAACTCAAAAAAAAACAGTGGGTAAACCAGAAAAAAACGTGATGAGCGATAGGTCTATATAACAAATAGTATAAAAAACGTCTGCCAAAGATAATACATTAACAAGTAGGCAGAGCGCGAAAGAGATTTATGAAGTATATGCTCACTTTTCTCAGGATTATTTTTTCTATTTGTAATGTTAATTTTATCCAAAAGAAAGTAAAAGAATACGACAATTTTGCGATCAGGTACCTATTTATTTGTTTGTTTTTTAAAGCCTGATCACTCTGTATCTGTTAAACTAACTTACTTTTACTATTTTTGTCACCGATCAATATTTTCCTTACTGAATTTTGTGTAACTATGTATGCATGTTATATAGGGGTATATAGGGGGGATATTAATAACCCCCAGTATAAAGTTAATTTATTCTTTAAACAAATATAACATAATTTTTAATATAGATTAACTAAAAAATAAATACTTTTAAATGCATTTGAAATTAACTTTGTGCTAATCATTTTATTAGTATATATTTCATCAAAATATATTGAAATTGGCAACGTTTTAATAACTTTATAAACAACTAAAAATTGCTTTTTAATTTCATTATTATCTGAACTATTCATTATACTAGCCCATTCCTGGCACCAGGCTGATTTTTAGGATCAGAATTCATGCATGCATTAGCAAATTTCAATATCGATATAGCATTTAGGAGTTCCGGGAGCAAACTCTGGTTGTAATCCTTTTTTGCAAATCTTTAATGCAAGTTTTGTATCAAATTCAAGTCCATCAAAAGGTCTTTTACCAGTTGTCATTTCAGACATAATAATACCAAATCCATAGATATCTGCA